CGGAGGCTGGAATGGGAGCCCTCCCTCGGGGGCCAGCAACCTTCCCTGGGGGGTTAGACCTCCTCCCAGGCTGAAATAAAATGGTACAGTATTAAAATCTGCATAACAAAGAACAGCAGCTGCAAATCTGCGCTTTCTAATGGCATTGAGGATAGATAAGGGGCCTTCCTGAGCCCTTCATCACAGAAGGGCCTTGAGGGGATGCTGAAAAGTTTGAGAAGGCTTGTTTGGCTGTGCTTATTGTTGTGTTTGAAAGCTGTGGCTTAGAAAGTTGTCACGTTTGGGATGTCAGCTCCCTTCGGTGGAGCAGTTGGAGCCCTTCCCCAGCAGGTGTTTGGGACTGCGATTTTATGGTGATGATAACTGCTGCTCCTGCAGTGGGTGAATTCACAGGGCCCATTTGCTGTGAGATCCGAGTTGGTGATCTCAGCACCACTCCCTGGCACGTGTAGAGCAAGCCTGGAGGAACTTTGTTCCAACAAGGAATAGTAGGCTCCCTATTGTAAGGAACAGTAAGCACCTTGAGCACGGATGGCCTTAAATCTGGCCCTCTCTGCCCTAAAATGATTTGTGATGAGGTCACATGGTTGTGCGGACAGGAGAGGGTGGGAGTTGCCTTCAGTCCCAATTCCTCTGACTTCAGATTTAGGGTAAAAAGGCCCTGTGTGTGCTAAGGCAAGTCCAACATTCCCAGGCTAAGCAGAGGTAAAAGGGAAAATGGAAGATTGGTTTTATTTCTAAACAAAAGGCCAAACCTTACATCAGTTTAAAAGGAAAACGTGCCTCACTGAAGACTGTGGGAGACAGGATGGTTTGAACCTAACCAAAGAAGTATGTCTGGCTTGGGATTTCAGAACCAAACCACTGTGTGCTCCGGTGTCTATGTGTGTGTGGGGCTGAGTCCAAACCTCCTGCAATATGACAGTGAGCAGCCAGGTTTGAAACCTGTTGGGGAGGAGAATGGGCCTCAGGCAAGAAGCAAGTGCACGTTTCGTTGCAGTTGGCATGTTAAATAGCGGCTGTTTGTGACTGGAGGTCAGGTTCCAGGCAGCAGGTTGATTCCAGGAATCTGCCACTCACATGTGGAAATCGGAGGGGCCAGCACTGGCATTAGCCAGATCTGTGTGACATTAACTTGCTGTTAAATGCAAAATTCAAGCAGCAAAACAAATGTATTCATTTGGTTTTGACATTTTGAGCAGATACAGGTGTTGGTGCCATGTTCTTTCCGGAGACATCCAGGTTGTTCTGGTTGCTACCGTGTTTTTTTCACACCTTTGATTGTTTTCACACCTTTGCTTTCTTCTGGACTCCCTGTTTTGTGCAAATGGAAGGGCTGGGATTCCTTATTTTATGGTTTGATATACTGTCCCCCAGCCTAGTTTGGGACTAGACATTACACATCTCTAACAGGCCACAGAGAGGCCCAGTGTGCAGGGAGCGTTAGAGCTGCTGTCCCTGCAGCCCTGACCCTGCCTTCCCAGCCGCACCGCTGGGTCCCGCTGCCTGGTGCGCTTGCTGTCGTGGATGCCAAGTCCCACTCCCCATGTGGAACCTCATCCAGGGGAGCCACTGCTGCCATCAGCCTCCACGGGGCAGTTGGGCAAGTGGATGCCCAACACTTCCCTGGCTGAGCCCTTGCCATTGCGGGAGTGCATGGCAGGCAGGAAACATGGTCAGGGAACTGTCCAGGGGATCCAGTCACATAATTAGTGATTGGCTTTGGTAATTCCAAGTAATTATTCACCCATCCTTACCACATACTGGAGCCATAATTTTTCTGAGGCTGCTGTAAGAGCAGATTCAGTTTTGTCTCCCTGCGTTCCCTGATCTGCAGCGAGATCCAGCTGACAGATCACATGCCACTTTACTTTTTTTCCCTTACTTTCCTAAAATGGGGAAGAGAGATTAGCTGAGAAGCCAGTGCGCAGCATGTCCCCTTGTCACCTCCTGCAGCCTGACGTGGGGAGCTGAGCAGCTGCCTCTGCCTGCAGGGAGGACGGGGATGGAGAGGAGCTGCCAGGACAGGAGGCTGCAGCTCCAAGGGCTGTGCAGCCCCCTGGGCTGTCCTACTTGGTGGCTGGGAACCCACAACTTCACCATGGAGAGAGGAGGGTTTCACAGGCTTCGTAGAAACATGAGCACCATTTTGAAGTGTTTCTAGTGTTTGACTATTCGTGTCCGGGGTCGTAGTTGATGCTGTTCCATCCCCCTAATGCTATTCAAGATGCAGTTTTACTGTTTATGTTAATCACAGGCATGTTTGCATGTTAATGAAAATATTTTTCTTAAAACTGATATTTTCATGAGAAGAATGATGTGGGGAACATTTGAACAGACTTTGTGAATGGGTCTGGGGAGACTGAGGATCCAGGCAAAATCTCTGGCCTTGATTTCCAGGATTGGGTAGAAGGCATTTTCTCTTAGAGTATCGGCATCCTAGCAGGCCCATAGGAGGGGAAGCAAGAGACTTTGAGATGCAGAGGGAAACTGCAGAGGACTGGTAGGTGCAGGAGCAAACATCTCAGATGCACACAGTGCAGTGACAGATGGATGGCTTTTCCGAAGGGCAGGGAGACAAAACCATCCCCAGCCTACCTTGCCTCTTTGGCAGCTTCTACAGGCTTGTAGATAAGTTCCCTGCTGACACCATGGTTCCCCTGCTGAAGCTTTTGATGAGATTTCTAACACTTAAGTTGTAGCCAGAGACCTCTCTCATCTGCAGACTGACTGTCTTTTCTTATTCAAGGCTTTAGAATACTGATGTCAGGAATAATGTTTAGGATCTGAGGGGACTGTAAATCCCAGAGTCCTGGAGTCCTGCAAATGGAACAAAGCTGGGCTTGTCCTCCCATGGGCTAAGGTGTTTGAGTTTACCGATATGCCGAGTTTACCGAGTTGGGCACTGGGACTGTGACTGGGATTGAGCACTTTGCTATGCAGGTAGCCTCAGGTAAAGCTGATCATCTCTGATCCTTGGTCTTCTCAGATTTGTTGGCATCCAAGACAAGGATGGTGTCTTCATTGCATGTGGATGGAGCACTTGGTATCACTGCACTGAAGCTCTCGAGGAAATAAATTGTTTATTCTGAAGTCCTGACTCCAGAATTTCATGTGTCGACTCTTATGCTGAGGATCTTAGGATAGGTCTTGTGGGACTTATCTCTGTTCTGTAAAGCCCCGTCCATTGCAGCAGGTAGGACCAGGGGAACATTGCATTTGGAATGTCAGTGGCCCAGCCTCCAAATCTTCACACAGGTGCTTTTCATGCTTTGCCCCATGCTTGATATTGCAGTAGCCTGAGGGGGGAGAGGGAAGGCAAAGGTGCGCTTTCCTCACTGCAGAGCTGCTTTTGACATGACAAGAAAAGACCCTCTGCTTGTTTCTTGGCCCCACCGCATTTGTTAAATTAACTCATGATTCCTTGCTTGGCTCTGGTGCAGCACTCAGTTCAAAACCTGGGAAAAAAAGCTTTTTTTTTTTTTTTTTCCTAGCAGGAGCTGTGAGGCCAGGCATGATTTACTGATTTACTTCGCTTCTGGAACTCCCTGGAGTTGGGACAGAAGGGCAGCATAATCATGTGGCCTTAGACCAGGGTTGTCCTGGGCAGAGGGCTTTGTGTGGACTGCGAATACAGCTTGCCGTTCTGGGGCGGGGAGCGAGCCGAGCAGGCCGCTGCCTTGCAGCCCCCTGCGGAGTCCCAGGAAGCTGGAAGAGCCGGGGAACAGGCTGAGCCAGGTGTGGAAACTGGGAGCACAGCAGCATCTGCTTGGGTGCCAGCCTGTGTGTGCGGCCCGGTGCAGCAATAGCCACACTGTTCACTCCTGCCATTCACTAACAGGCTGAAGGGACGTGTCCTGCCTTCGCTTCGGATGCAAAATGCCACGGGGAAGAGGTGGGAGGAGCAAGGCGGCTCAGAGGCGTTCTCATGGCTGTGTCTATTTCCCAGCACCTTGCCCAGCCTCATCTGAAAGAACTCAAGTGATGGAGCTCCCGGCGCTTCCCTTGGGAGATCATTCCACAGTCTAATAAATCTCTCTGCTAGGAAATGTTTCTTGATAACCAGCCATTTTTTTTTCCTTTGCTCAATTCATTAGGTTATTCTTAGCATCAGAGCACCCAAAGCAGATCCTCCTTCCTCCTTAGGAGGGGGCTGCAATTCCTCCCTTCCTCCCATAGCTCCAGTTTTAGACTAAGGCATTGGCTCAAATCTTGACCAAGAACATCAGGATCTGGTTAATCCCCCTGCTTTTCATCTGGCTTTCTCAGGCGGCCTTGCTGACTACACCATGCTTTGTTCTGAACTTCCCTTGTCATGCAGGCATGTACATTGTAGGGGTATGCCTGTGGCACAGAAAACCAAACTGCTGCTCCTGCAGCTCTTCTGGCTACATGGGCTTCTGTATCAACCTAAAATTCCAGATATTTTCTTCTTCTTTATTTATTTTGCTGTCATCAGTGATCCCAGTGCTCCCTGCAGTTTCCTTTGATTGCTGTGTTTTGGGCTGTTTCTTCCAAAGGCAGTGTTAGCAGTTTGCTCTCCTACTCCCTCACCTTGACGAAAGCCTGCTTCAAACCTAGTTCATTCACTAGGGCCCTCTTCAAGGACTCCAACAGACTTTGGATAGGACCTACAATTCCCTTGATGGTATTTCTTTGTCTTCTTCCCTAGAGTCTGCAGATTTCACAAATAACATCTGTGCCTTTAATTAGCAAGCCTTTCCTCTTGTCTCTTCTTTCTCTTTATTTTTTTTTTGTTTACAGGCAATTTAAAAAGTTGATAACCAAAATAATAATTAAAAAATAAGGTTTCATGTGGGGGCTGTGGTGGACATTTCCTCTGCATCCGAGCAGAAGGGTTGGAACAAAGGTCTGCTAGAAGAGGCCAGCATGTTGTTTGTGTACCTGGATTATGTGCTGTTACCAAAGACAGAGCAACACTCCGTTGGTGTGGGTCTGCAAATGCACCTCTAACTTGGCACTTGCTGTATCCACCGCAGGTTGTGCGTTCCTCACCTACTGTGCCAGAGACTCGGCCATCAAAGCCCAGACGGCACTGCACGAACAGAAGACTCTGCCAGGGGTAAGTCGCAGCAAATTGTGCCTGCAGCTTGCCCCTCTTGGGGGAGGGAGAATGGGTGAAAAGCTGGCTGAGATTAATTTTTCTGCTTATGAAAGAGGAGGTGTTTGGGAGTTAGAAGAGGGGTGCAGGGCCAGAGCGCGGAGCTGCACCTCACAGAGGCGCTTCTCTGTGCCCTGCCAAGACTGCCCCATGTCACACCCACCAAACCCTCTTCTGTGTTGCTCTGTAGCCCCTATTACATGATGCGACCTGTCCAGGTCTCTGCTCCTATTGCTGGGGTGCTGGGCTGCAGTGTGTGGGCCCAGCTTGCACAGCGGTTGCGCTGGAGAGGTGCTAAGATGCAGCGTGAAGTACAAGATTCCTTTCCTCCAGATGTGCAGAACTTCCTGATGCAGCAGTTCCTTAGCTGCCTCTGCTCTGACAGGTGCAGGTTGTTCAGTGTCTGGGTGCAGAGTGGAGAAGACAGACATGTCCCTCTGTAGCACCTCCTGAGGCGCTCTCAGGGGTCACTGGCATGTGGCTCACTGGTTTTAGGCACTCTCCTACATTGGGGTCTGTTGCATGTTTCACTTTTATTGTTTGTACTGTGCTTTTAGAGTGCTGCATGGGGATGTTTTTAAACAGGCAATGCAAAGCATATTTATCTGAGCTTGCGTGATCTAAAGGCTTTTTATGTTTAGAGACTCATAGGAAACTACTTGGGAACAGGAAGAAGTGTTTTCTGACAGATACTTCCAAGCCTGGTAGTCTTCAGACAGTTAATGAGCTATATGCTGTTTTTGGGTTTCAGGATTATCATGGAGATGAGCTGTGTTGTAACTGTACATCTTCATGCTGGCAATATATGACTTCATCGCATGCAGTTTTTCTATAAGAAATTCCTTGTGTGATGAGGAGGTTGGGATTCTTTTTAGTCGTCATTTTAGTGGCCACTTAGACAAGGTTGTTACCAAAATGAAGCTGACCTCCAGCCTGCGGGAGTAGGGTTGATGTTGACATGAAAGAGGCTGGCTGATCTCAGGTAGCTTGCTCTATGTGTTTTGCTTGGTTTGGTCATTTTGTGTGTGTAGCACCACGCGTTCCTGTGACCCAAGTGACCACAGAGAACACTCTGGAAAGGGGGCACAGTCAGGCCCTCTGAGAAGCTGATTCTTTCCCTCTTTTGGGAAGGACATCATGAAATTTCTCCTCTGTTTGCTCATGTTTAGGCCATCTTATGATGAAGCCTTGCAAAGCTTCTCACCAAATTTGTAGCAAGGGCCCAGCACAGGGCAGAGAGCGGAATGTACTGAACCAGACCACCTAGGTTTAAGTAAACGGGCCATAGTGGTTAAGTAGTCATAGTAGTCACTTCCTTGACTGTTTTATCTACCTACCACCTCTTCATGGCAAATAGCAGTAAGAAAGCTTAAGGATATGCATAACATCAATGTAGGGTTACACAAACATTCTCTGGAATGCATGACCAGGCACCAGCGGCTTTAGAGACAGCAAAATATGGAGCCAGCATAGAACATGTTTTATTGGTAATGCTACACTTTTTACTATATTGCAAAGTACCTGTAGATGCAACAAGCACCTTCTTCACTGGTCTCAGTGTAGAGATTAAGGGCTGATCTCAGCAGTTCATGAATCCAAATAGAGATTCATGAATAGCCTAGATTGGGGATTTGGTAAGGTCAAACACAAGAAAATGCTTTGATGTGGTTTCTGGTAGGTTCTCAGGCTGTGAATGGAAGACTAGACAGATGAAGTGATCCAGGATTCCTGGGTTCTCTTTCCAAGTCTTTGGGTTGGTGCTGTGCCTGCAGATGCAGTGTTTATGCTCTCTGTGCCTGATGCGTATCCAGGAATGCTGCCGCGCTGTTCCTGCAGAGCTGCACCTGCGATGTGGCTGTTCTGAGCTTCTGTACTGGTGCTCATTACTGTAGATTTTCCACATAAATCAGTAGGAATCACCATGGTCTCTACCGGCCTTTATGGTATTTCTGGCAAGTTCTCCCATTTAGGAGATGAAAATTCTCCTTGCAATGTGATTTTTACTTCATTTGTTTATGCGTAAGTTGGCAGCTGTTGGGTGTCTGCTAGCTAAATAGAATACACGAGTTAAGCCCAGGAAAGTGGTTGTGTTGTTTTTTAGTTTTGTCAGAGGAAGGTGTCACATCTTTTTCCAAAGGTAGCCCTTTTTTTGGGCTCACTTCATCTGCCACCAGAATTTGTTCTTTTCATCTGAGAATGCTCTGGTCTCAGCTCTGCTCTGGTTCATCCTAGACTCTGTAGTTTGTGTGTTATCTCAAAGTAGCCAAGTCACCACTATGATTCAGAGATCAATGTCACGGTTTCATGGAGCTGGGACTACTCTTTAATGCTTTTTTTTTTTTTTTTTTTTTTTTGTGGATAGAGATCATTCAGTGGACTTTGGAAGCAGATGTGAGGGGAGAGAAAGTTTCATAAAGGCTGGCATGCTCAGGATAAAAAGAGAGAAGATTTTCAGCTGTATTATCTAGAACTTACGTTCAGGAGATACAAAGCACTTGTATCTCCTGGTGATAAAGGAGCTGGTGAGTTGCTCTAGGTCCAGTCTGGCAGTAACAAATGCACGGGTCTTCCTGTTGGGAAGGAAGGATAGATCTTCCTAGAATGGGAATGTAAAGGGCATTCTTGGGCAGCAAGGAGTAGTGTTGAAGCACCCGGGCTTGCTGAGGAGTTGACAAGGCCAGGTATCCATGCCCTTGCTGATGACAGGGGCTGCTGGAAGCAGGGAAGGTGCCCTGCCTTGTGGCCGTGGGGAAGGGGAGCCTGCAGAGATCCTTTTTTCTTTTTTTTTTTTTCTGGGGGGGCTCCACAGCCTTCTCTGTGAGGACAGGCAGAGGGGGTACATGGTCAAGCTTGACTCGGGCCTACTGGAGCAGTCTGACAGGCTCCAAAGACACAGTGGTGATGGAGGCAGATCTGGCTCAGGAGCAAAACAGAAACCAACCCCTTCTGCTGCCTGCATTCGTGTTGTTGGGGGAAGTTGCACAGCCTTAGGAGGCTGAACAGAGGCAAAATCTGTGGATGTGAGAAGCAGAGAGAGCATCAGGCCTTCGCTCTCCTTCCTGAATCCCTTGTCCACCTGAGCTGCCAGCCAGCCCAGCTGTGCGGGGCTTCACCTCCTCCGCGCTCCCTGGCGTGCTCCTCCCCGGCTGGATGAACGATATTGTAGCTCAATAACCCATGGCTTTGGTTCGTGATTGTGCCTTCGCTATGCTGGGTTCTGGAAGGAACTGGAAAGGTTATTAATGACATGCAGTGATCACACACCAAGTTAAGGCCTCTTGCTAAGTGAAATTTGAGGGAAAAGCACCCAGCTTTTCAATATTTTGCAGAAACGCTTTGTGTCTCTTTTCATTTGCAGCCAGACAGTTGCAAATTGCATAAAATTGCTCCTGAAGAAGAAGGGGGAGAAGAACAGAGGGAGGGAAGGGGGAGAAAGCTTTTTTTTTTTTTTTTTTTAAGTGATTCTTCTGGTAAGGTACAGTATAGTTTTATTTCTATGCAGAACAAAGAAGGGCTTACTGAAAGGTAGGTAAGTGGCAGAAATTGGTATTGATCCAAGCTGGGAATATGGGCAGTTTAAGAGCAGCAGTGGGGGTACTGAAATGCGGCTACATCGGGGGAGAACTCACGGATGCAGCAAGGGCTTGGGAACACAGGAATGGAAAATTACAGAGCGCAGCAGCACTGGAAGAGAGAGAGACTCTGGGAATGCACCAGGGGTTGAGATACAGCAGCAGTAACTCAGGTGGCTGGACGCAAGGATTAATGCAGAGACAGAGCAGCACTTGGGCCGAGGGCATCTCTATGGGCAAGCGATCTCCTGTACTGTCGAAAGCCAGCGCTCCTTTTGGGCTCTCCATCAGGATCCACTGCAAGTGGTGATATGATGGGACATGAGTGACTCGAGGTGTTTAGTAGAGAAGTCAAAACATCTCCTTCTCCCCTCCTCTTTTGTACCAGTGCTGGTGTGCAGCCAGCCTGGGACAGTGTTTCTGAAACAACTTCTTCGAGTGAATCCTGCAGGGCATTGCAGCAGGCAGGGCTAGGAGACATGCTGAGGTGCACAACAGAGGACCAGTATGCTTGGTCAAAGGCTCCTGTTGTTGCTCTTGATATCATCTCTGCATTTTGAGCCTTCAAGCAGGGCAGAGTGAAGTTTCTCCCATATCCATTCTGCAGGTTAAACAGCCACTATCAGCGAGTTCACAGGAACCATACAACATTGTCAGTAGAAGGTAGCACTGCAGAGAGAATGTTAGGGCAGTCTCGTGGAAATGGTAGGACATGAAGGTAGTGAGCTGAAATGCCCGCTCACTGCAGAGGAAGTTGCAAATACTTACTCCTTTGGGAGTTTGGCTCAAGGGGCTGAGAACCAACAGTAAGGCAAGGAAACAGCCCTGCAAAATACATACCCTGAAGAGGCAGAAGGAGAGCAAGCTGCCAAAGCAAACATTGGCTCCTGTTGCCTAGAAAACTGAAAAGCTAATCAAGTAAAAGATCGGCACCCGTTCTCACATGCTGCCCCAAAACACATGCAGGTGCTCTTCCCACCTCCAGCCGCAGAGCTTCCTATTGCACAACAGGGCTCTCGCATCTCCTCAAAGTCCACAGCCTGGAATTCTGTCTCCCTGTGCTTC